TGATCTTCATAAACAAGATCCAGCTACCTTTCCAGTTTTCTTCTACTTTATTGTCCCCGTCCCCCCCCCCCCCCCCCCGGCAACTCAGCAGCACTGGCTCTTTTGTGGTTCCTTGCACAAGATACTTCATCACCTGATTTTGTGCCTTTTCAGTGGCTAGTGGCTAGCTATCCTCCATGCTGACTACATCATGTGTGTGTGTAATTGTTTACATGTTGTCTCCTCCATTAGAATATGAGCTACTTGAGGATAGTTACCTTGTTTATACCATTCTTTGTATCCTCTGTAGTACAGTAAGCATTTAGTAGACACTTGTTGACTCTTAATTGCCTGACCTATTGCCTTAATGATCAAATATAAATTCTTTTGTTTGACTTTTAAAGTCCTTCACCATCTGGTCCCGGACTAGTTTTCTGTCATTGTTCTATATTACTCCCCTTACTGCTACACTCCAACCAACCTTGTCTTCTTTCTTGCTGTTCCTAATACATTATATTCCATTTGCAGTCTTTGTGTCTTTCCACTGGCTGTCCCTTATGCCTCTAAGATACTCACTCTTTATATTTGCCTCATAAAATCACCCCTTTCAGAACAAAATTCTGCATAAATGCTACCTTCTACATGAATTCTTTCTTGATTCTTCCTCCCTCCCCCCCCAAAAAGGGTGGGAATACTCTCCCTCCACCAAAACAAAACCAAACCTCATTGTGTATATTTATTTTTTACGTTCTTATTTATGTACACATTATCTCTCCTAATGGAATATTAAGCCCCATAAGGTTAGGGACTGTTTAATTTTTGTCTTTGTATCCCCAGTGCCTAGTTCTTCACGTTGTAGACACTTAGTAAGTGCTTGTTGATTGATTATTTTCTTTCTTGTTTTATTTTCTACATCTTTCATTGAGTTATAAAATGATATAGGTGTGGTTCATTGTTGAAAGCCTACTTATTACCTGCTAAATCCCTCATTAAGCAAGCCTTTGATGTTTGTATAGGAAACTTTTATAAAGATTTTGTATAGGTGAGAGAGCTGGGATTAGAACCCAGGTTTTTAAACTAGTACATTGTTATTGTCACTATAGCATGCTGTGCTAATTAATAATTTATCAACCTGGACTGAAGTTTATTTGTGTTATCTGTGAATTCTAAGTGTAAATTTTATCATATTTGGGAGCAACATTTTTCTAAGTGAGGTGAATTTCGTATAATAGATATTAATGGGATCCTAGGTTATCTTAATGCATTTCACAGCCAATTTTAAACCCTAGTCAATTAAGGAAATATAAAAAGAGTGAAGAGAATGTATTTAGCTTGCTAAACACTCCTGTTGAGTTCCTACAGTGTGGTGTGTGTGTGTACATTTTGTCCCAAAGAAACATATGCTCTAGCTGGAAAAGATACGTAAAATATCAGTAAGTGCCAATGTGTGGTATAGATAAGTGTTTCCAATATTTTTGAATGTGAGGACCTCTTTTTAATGAAAATTTTTTTTCTGAGATCCATAATATGACATAAGTTGTATTACTTATTAGAAAGGCAACATAGTGTTGTAGGTAGGGTCCTGGATTTGGAACCAGGAAAACTTCCACATCCCACCTCTTATACCTACTTAGCTATGGTACCTTGTACAGTAATTTTGAACTCCGTTTACCTATCTGTAAAAAAGGAATAATGCTACCTGTATTACCTACTTCAGGGTTGTTTTAGATTCAAATAAGATAATATAAAATTCCTTGCAAACTTTAAAATGCTAAGTAAATATCAGTTGTTATTATTATTATCACTACTACTAATACTGCTGCCAATAACTGTAGATTGAGCATGTAAATGAGTTACCATAAATCCAATATTTTAAGCATTTATTATTTTAGCAAGTATAATAGCATTTATATACTTTTGAAAAAATATAATATATGCATACATAAATATCTTATGTGTGTGTGTGTGTATGTATGTGTGTATTCAGTCTGCAGAAGGTATGTTTGCTTATGTATTTGGTGAACATTTAGGTTGATGTACTTCTTGTACTAACTCCTTGGTACCAAGGTTTGGAACAGTTGTAAAGAAAAATTGTAAATACTGTAAAACTTAAGAGGGAAGAGAAACAAAAAATTCTTAGAGCTGAAGAGGCAGTACATTTTAGGCATGAGGGGATAGTCAGTGGAAATACATAAAGATGAGAAATGAAGTCTTGTTAGGAACAGCAAGAAGGGCTGGATTGTAGAATGCAAGAAAGGAAGTAAATGTATAACAAGGATGGAAAGCTAGGTTGGGGCCAGTGTGTTAAGGTCTTTGAAAAGTCAGAGAGAGGAAGAGTTACTATGTGATCAGTGATTCGGTTAAGGTTTCATAGAAGAGTTAGTACTTGAACTGAAATTTAAATAACGGGTAGAATTCAGACACAGGAAAAGCAAAGGGAAGCAAATTTCTGTTATGAAGTTATTTGAATAGTGGTACAGGGAGAGGGACAATTATAGTTTATTTTAGGGAGCATGAATGGACTAATTTGACCCGATGGAAGGTATATCATGTAATGATAGAGGAAGAGCGAAAGCTGAATCACCCTTTTGCAATCCTTAAATACTAGCATTTTGCACTTTATTCTGTAGGGAATTGGAAACTACCTAGCCGCCTCTAGGGAATCAGAGAGCCCTGGGAGATCTTGTATAAACTGATGCAGAGTCAAGTGATTATATCCCGGAGAATATTTTATCCTGTTACTACAACATTGTAAAGATAAGCAACTTTGAAAGATTTAACCCTAATCGATGAAAGGTCTTTTTTTTTTTAAATTTCAGAGGAGCTTTTATTTGAATGTTTATATAAGCAAAGAAATATTTTAGGAAAATTAATCATGCAGTAGTGTGGAAGATGATTTGGAAAAGATAGAAACTATGATAGTTCATTCATGAGATGATGATAAGCTAGACAAGATAGTGGCATTGGGGATAGTAAAAGAATTTATATATTAGACACTTTAAGGAAAAATTGAGAATACTTAGTGATTGGCTTTATGTGGATCAAAGATAACTCTAAGGTTTTGAGTCTGAGTGACTGGGAGAATGTCAATATCATGGCTAAGAAACATTCAAAGGGAGATTCTCTTTTGGAGGAAATATGAGTTTGGTTTTAGACGTGACGAGGTTTGTCAAAAATCTAAGTAGAAATGTCCAGCAGTTAATTGAGAGGGTCAGTAATCTACAGCAGCACTTTTTTTGTTGTAGCAAAAAACTGAAAATGAATCAATTAAGGAATGACTGAACAGATTGTGGTATATGAATGTGATGTAATCATTTTGTACCATAAGAAATGATAGAAGGAAACAAATATTTTAAAGTAACTACTATGTACCAGCAACTGTGTTTTATAAATATGGTCTCATTCGATGTTTACAACAACCCCATTAGGAAGCTATTAGTATTCGCATTTTATAGTTGAGGAAATTGAGGCAGACACTTTTACCCAAGATCACACAGTAAGTTTTTGTGGCCAGATTTGAACTCGAGTATTCCTAACTCTGGCCCAACATTCAGTCCTTTGTGCCACCTAACAACCTCTAGGGATTCAGAGAAACCTGAGATAAGGCCATATAAACTTATGCAGAGTCAAGTGATTAAATCCAGGAGAATTTTATACAATTACTACAGCATTGTAAAGATAACCAAACATGGCTTCAAAGAACTGATGTTGAAGGATGCTTGCTTGAATGAAATATAATGGAATTGAGGTACAGAATAACTTAACATTTTCAGTCATAGCCAATATGTGGATTTGTTTTGCTTGATTATGCTTATTGTGTAACAGGGAGATTTTTTTTTTTTAAATGGGAGAGGGACTTGGCGGGGAGAGTAGGTTGAGCAATAGTGATGTCAAAAAATAAAGAAAACAATGTCATTGAAACAGTTTTTTAAAGTGAACAAAAGGGAAGTTAAGAGGGAGACATGGATAAGCCAGATGAAATTTATCTGCTGAATTATTATATGCTTTAAACAAGCAATCTGTATCTGATAGCTATTCATGGTTTCATATACAATCCTCATTTTGTTCTTTGTATATGTAAATGTTCATTGTTGAAGTTGGCTAAGTTCAACATTAAAAAATATTATTTAAGAAGAAAATGGAGAGTAGGAGACAGGTTAGGGTATGACATGCAGATTTGGGAGTTATTTTTGTATAGGTATTAGGTGAAGTCAAAAGAGTAGATGAAATACACATAATTGGTGTTGTGGCTGTTTAGTGAAGTAGGAGTGATGGTACTGGGTAAAGTTTTTATTTGTTATTTCTGATTAAAAAGGTACCTGAAAGTAATAAGCGTGTTTCATTAAAATATTCTAACTTAGACTTTTTATTAATTCAAAAAAACCTTCTTTCCAAGTTACTGTTTTTTAAAAATTTATTTATTTTTAGTTTTCAACATTCACTTCCACAAGATTTTGAGTTCCAAATTTTCTCCCTATCTCATCCCTCTTCCAACCTCAAGACAGCGTGCATTCTGAATACCCTTTCCCCTAATTTGCCCTTCTTTCTATCCACTAAGACTGGAAAGAGGAACTTAACCTCTGGCTAACCTTTCTCTAGCTACTAGAAAGGAGGACTTAGCTTCTGGTCAACTCCCCTTTCTTCCAGAAAGGGAAATCTAGCTTTTTAAAAGATTAATTAATTATGTCTTACTCTAAATTATCTGCTACTAAATGATAAAGGCTTCTCAATTTCAGTTTATTCACTAAATCTATAGGTAATCTAGACTTAAGAGACTATTTATGTTAGTCTCCCTTATTTTAGGGCTGGTTCTTCCTAAAGAATGGAGCTTAACTGTGATCAAACTGAAAATAAATCAAAGTGATCAGTAATAACTGATCTCTTTTTTATTAAGTCAGTGTCCATGGTCTTGTTCTTATGTGTTTACTTCTTTTTCATCCTTTTATCTTCCATCCTCCACCCCCAATTTCTCTGGCATACTAACTCAAGTTTTTATTTGTTTGTTTGTTTTTTTAAACTAGGAATTGTGGTGCTTGGAATAAACCGATCTTATGCCAAAAATGCACTCAGTAAAAATCTCATAAAAATGGTAAGTGAGCAGATGAATCTATTTGCTTCTTATGCTGTAAAGATAAAATATTGACATGAATCTGAAAATGTTTTTCCTCCCCTTGTTTTGTGTAGCTATCAAAAGCTGTGGATGCTTTGAAATCTGATAAGAAAGTGCGGACTATTATAGTCAGGAGTGAAGTCCCTGGAATATTCTGTGCTGGTATGCAAATATATTTTATTCTAAAGTTAGGAAAGTTTTGTAGTCTAGTTTTGCCAAAGGAGCAGCCTTTGTACTAGCAAAGTACATTATGGCTTGTGTTCAAATTGCAAACAAATTTTAGATATTTTAATAAATATCTGTATCATATGGCTTTATCTGTCAGAAGTAAATTGTTAAATTTATGTTAAATTGTATATCTACTCTATTCCATTGATCTGTCTTTCTATTTCTTAGGCAGTACCAGATAGTTTTGATAATTACTGCCTTATAATATAGTTTAAGATCTGGTACTGCTAAACCTTCCTTCTTTTTTTTCCCACTATTTCCTTTGATATTCTTGATTTTTTGTCCTTCCAAATACATTTTGTTACTGTTTTTTTTTAACTTCTGTAAAATAATGTTTTGGTAATTTAATTGGGATGGCATTGAATATATAAATAAGTTTGGGTATTAGTTTCCAGGGGACATGATACTCCAATATGACATTGAAGTGATATATTAGGGCTCCAGAGGGAAGATTGATAGCATTCAATAGACAAATATTCTCGGCTGGTCCTTAGATAAGATGACAGTTCATTTCTGGACCTACAAGCTTTCACTCTTCAGATACTGCTTTTGAGAACCAAAACTCATCTTCACATTATGTTAAAGAGAGGAGCTGAGCCTTTTGGTAAAGATGCCTTCATAAAAACTTACAGTTAAGACTTCAAACTTGGCAAACATCAACAGTATTTCCCTAAGAAACTCCTTGGCGAGGAGAAATATCTGTCAGTCTAGGAACTGAGGCTATAGATATGATTAAATAATCATATCCCCAATAAAGAAAGTAGGACCTCAGGAATAATTGCGTGTGTGTGTGTGTGTGTGTGTGCATGCACGCATGCACATGGACAGAGATGGAGTTTTACAACAAAGACTTGAAAGAGAGGTTGGAAATAATGAAGAGGCAAAACATGAAATCAGAGATGTTGAGAAAAAATTTGAAGCGTAATAAATTGCCCTGAACAGACAGATGAAAACCTTATCTAGACAGTCCATTCTTGAAAAATGGAATGGAGCAAATGGAACTCAGTGACCAGATCAAATAGAAATTAACAGTTTGGTAAGGAAGAAATATTAGAAGAAAATAAAAAGATAAAGAAGAAAATATAAGATAGCTGCTATTAAAAAACATATGTGGAAAACAGGTCAAGTAGAGATGATATAAGAATCATTGAACTCTTTGAAAACCATAGGAAAAAAAAAAAGGCCTGATCATTATATTTCAAGAAATTTTAATTGACTTACTACCTTCTGAAAGAACCCTAAAAGGAAATATCCCAAGAATTTCATAACCAAAATCCAGAGCTTCTATGTCAAAGAAAAATACTGCAGATATCTAGAAAGAAGCATTTCACATACCAAGGAACCAGAGTGGAACTTGCTATTTTTCATAATTGAATTGCATGAGAAGAAGAGTATACAAATAAAGTAGAAGAGTTTGGGAAAGTGAGCATCACTTTCAAATGAAATTCACTCTTATCTGAAATGGATGAAGGAGAATTGAACACACACAATTACTCTGGTGTAGAAATACATAAAATTCAACAGTGAAAAAATCAAGGAAAAAGAGGAAGGTGTCTTGATGTCTTGATCCTGAAGGTAAAATTAAAAGAAAAAAAAACCACAAAGAATTAAAGTCTTAAGAGGGTGTACAACATCGGTGTATGGTTGAAGATTAAAAACAGAGTTAAGGGGGGCAGAGCCAAGATGGCAGAGGGAAAGCAGTGACTTGCTTGAGCTTTCCCACCAAACTCCTCCAAATACCTATAAAAATGGCTCTAAACAAATTCTAAAGCAGCAGAACCCACAAAAAGACAGAATGAAACAAATTTCCAGCCCAAGATAACTTGGATGGTTGATCAGAAAGGTATATCACGCTTGCCAGGGAGAGGAGCACAGTTTGGCATGGGCACACAGGCCACAGCGAATCTGGAGCAGGCCTCAGAGGACTGAATCATGGGCAGCTGTGGAGGTTTCTAGACTTCTCAACCCATGAACACCAAAGACAACTTGGAAGGTCAGTGGGAAAAGTCTGTGACTGCAGTGAGAGAGAAGTTAGGCCTCAGCCAAAAGTCTCGAGCGCAGCCTGGGGCCACAGCTATTTCCTGAGCTGCAGGACCACAGACTGAGGGGGAATTGAGTGGCTGATCAGAGGGGGATTGCAAGGATCTCTTTGCCAGTGCTGAGGCAGGAATCTCTTGCTTTACCTGTGGTTGGATCTGGGTCACAGTTCTGAGTGGCGGTCCTGGGGCGAAGAGGAATACTGGCGTGGTGGAGGTTGTTGTGGCTGTGGAGAGGAAACACCTCGCCCCTTATCATACTACTACCTTGGAAGAACTGAAAATTTTCAGGTCCCTAGAAGTATCTCTGAAAACAGCTGTACAAACCCCCGAAGCTTGGGACAGTACATTCTACACATTGGAAGCAGACTCTTACCTTAACAGAGAGTTTAAAACTCAAGTAATTGGCCAGGATCATGAGTAAGCAGCGCAAAAAGAGTCAGACTATATTATCTTACTTTGGTGACAAAGAAGATCAAAACATACAACCAGAAGAAGACAATAAAGTAAAAGCTCCTACATCCAAAGCCTCCAAGAAAAATACGAATCAGTCCCAGGCCTTGGAAGAGCTCAAAAGGGATTTTGAGAAGCAAGTAGAGAAGTAGAGGAAAAACTGGGAAGAGAAATGAGAGTGATGCAAGAAAATCATGAAAAACAAGTCAACAGCTTGCTAAAGGAGACCCAAAGAAATACTGAAGAAAATAACACCTTAAAAAATAACCTAACCCAAATGGCAAAAGAGGTCCAAAAAGCCAATGAGGAGAAGAATGCCCTAAAAAGCAAAATTGGCCAAATGGAAAAGGAAGCCCAAAAGCTCACTGAAGAAAATACTTCCTTAAAAATTAGAATAGAGCAATTAGAAGCTAATGACTTCATGAGAAATCAAGACACTGTGAAACAAATCCAAAAGAATGAAAAATTAGAAAACAATTGAAATATCTCATTGGAAAAACAACTGACCTGGAAAATAGATCCAGGAGAGATCATTTAAAAATTATTAGACTATCTGAAAGCCAGGATCAAAAAAAGAGCCTCGATATCATCTTTCAAGAAATGATCAAGGAAAACTACCCTGATGTTTTAGAACCAGAGGGCAAAACAGAAATTGAAAGAATTCACCTATCACCTCCTGAAAGAGATCCCCAAAGGAAAACTCCTAGGAATATTGTAGCCAAATTCCAGAGTTCCCAGGTCTAGGAGAAAATGTTACAAGCAGCCAGAAAGAAACAATTCAAATATTGTGAAAACACTATCAGGATAACACAAGATTTAGCAGCTTCTACATTAAGGGACCGCAGGGCATGGAATATAATATTCTGGAGAGCAAAGGAGATAAGATTGCAACCAAGAATCACTTACCCAGCAAAACTGAGTATAATCCTACAGGGGAAAAAATGGTCATTCAGTGAAATAGAGGACTTTCAAGCATTCTTGATGAAAAGACCAGAGCTAATAGAAAATTTGATTTTCAAATATAAGACTCAAGTGAAACATGAAGAGGTAAACAGGAAAGAGAAAATCGTAAGAGACTTATTAAGGTTGAACTGTTTACATTCCTGCATAGAAAGATGATATCTGTAAGTCAGGACACCTTTGTCAGTATTGGGGTAGTTGGAGGGAAAAAAATTATACGTATGTATATGTAGATATAGATAGATAGGTAGATAGAGGGCACAGGGTAAGTTGAAGATGAAGGGATCATATCTGGAGAATAAAATTAAGGAGTGAGAGAGGATTATACTAGGAGAAGGAGAAAGGGAGAGGTAGAAAGGGGTAAATCATCTCACAAAAAAAAAAAAACAGAAAAGAAAAGGCTCTTACAGTGGAGGGGAAACAGGGGAAGTTGAGAGGGAATGAGTGAATAGTATTCTCATAGGATTTGACTTAAGGAGGGAAAACATATACACTCAATTGGGTATGGAAATCTGTCTTACCCTCCAGGAAAATAGGGGGAAGGGGACAAGAGAGTAGGGGGATGATAGAGAGGAGGGCAGATTGGGAAAGGGGGTAATCAGAAGGAAATACTTCTGAGGAGGGACAGGGTCAAAAGAAAGAATAGAATAAATGGGGGGGGGGACGGGATAGGATTAAGGGAAATAGAGTTAGTTTTTCACAGCATGTCTACTATGGAAGTGTTTTGCATAACTGCACATATATAACCTACATTTAGTTGCTTGCCTTATCAATGAGGGTGGGCGGGGAGGGAGGAAGGGAGAAAATTTGGAACCCAAAGTTTTAAAAACTCATGTTCAAAAAAATTGTTTTCACATGCACCTGGGAAATAAGAAATACAGGAAATGGGGTACAGAAATCTATCCTGCCCTACAGGAAAATAGAAGGGGAAGGGGATAAGAGAAGGGGGGTAGAGGTAGAAGGGAAGGCAGATTAGGGGAGGAGTATTCAGAGTGCATGCCATCTTGGGGTGGGGGGAGGGTCTAGATGGGGTGAAAATTTAGAACTCAAAATCTTGTGGAAGTAAATGTTGAAAACAAAAAAAATATATATATACTTTAAAAAACCACAAAAAAAAAAACCAGTTAAGGTGAATGAAGGGGCAGTCTGTTGAAGAATACAGTAAGGGATGAGATCAAAGGTACATATAGTAGGGTTGGCTTTGGTAAGGAGAAGGGCTGTCTCATTATAAGAGACTGAGGGATATATTAAGAGAGTGGGAGTGGTGGTCAGTGAGGGGTTTTTGGTTTAGGAAATCACAAGGATAGTAGTGGAGTCATCAAGGGAGCTCTCATTATTTCCCATTGCTACTTAGCACAATACAAATCACAGTAAGATAGCTATAACTCAACAGCATTTCAAGAGCTAAACATCCTACCGTACTACAACATTTTACTTTATATTTTTTATTGCCAGCGTGTATCAAAATAAGAAGAGGAAAAAAAA